CAAGTCACTGCCCAAGTGCCAGATTTCAACGACTTCAGTGTGAGACCAGGTTGTAAGCACACTTTAGCAGGTGCTAGGTAAGCTGCCTGTCTCCGACATGCTGAACAGTGTTGGAAAAACACTGATTTGTAATGTGAAACTGCTGTATTAAGTGTTTATACTGGTTACAATCATCTGGTCCATTTTTGTTTTGATAATTATTCTTCTGGTAAAAACCTCCTGAACAATGAACACTGAAGGATTCCTAACCAGGAGAAGCTTCAGGTGGTAACAATCCTAAATCCTCCTAAATCTTGCACACTGTTCCTTTAATTTTATCATCTAGTTCTTCTTATTTTGGAAATGTTTATGAGTGTGACAAAAGAGTTATTTGTGTGAGACAGTAAGGGTGTCTCTTCACCTTGCACACAGCAGCCTGGATGATGGCATCAAAGCCTCCCTCTGGGGCATCTCGGTTTCTGGACACCATCTGCTTCTTCACTTCCTCTGTGAAGCGGCCCACCTCCTCCGTCAGGGACAGAACGTGTTTGTAACCGAACTGGGGCAGGCAGGTGGTATTAATACTGTCAGTGAAACAGAGAGCAAGTGATCGAGGTTCAGTGGAGCTGCTGCCGGCTTGTTCATACATCTCAACATCTGGTTGTATGCCATAAAAACTGTGTGACCTCCACTAATGATCGAAAGCTATACAATTACAGATAATATACTTTATTAAGGGGGTGTATAGCCAGCTGTTAAATTCATATGCTTAAAAATTCATTTAAATGTAAAGATGTCTAATAAGCCACATTAATATTTTAGTTGTATGTATTTTCCAGTTTTGTTCTGGAGTTATTTTGGACGTTCTTTGTGTGTCATATTAACTGTGGAAATAACTGCATCATTTTTTAAGTTACATACCAGGTCGGGACTTCACTTAACAGCTCTTCATTTTACCTTACTTCACTGAATGGTTCCTACAATGAAATTTAAAGCTGGGGTAGGCAGTTTTACTTTGGCATCATCAGGCAAAAATCCAATAATAACCTTTGAGCATATTGTAATTCAAGTGGACTGAGTGAAAACTAGACTTTTGCGCTTCCTCTTGGCTCTGTTTTCAGTCTTTAAAAAATCTAGCCTGTGACAAGAGACTCTGGCCAATCACAGATCAAGAGGGGGCGTTCCTATTGACTGTTGTAAAAATCAAGATGTGTGTGTATGTCCCTTCGGTTAAAGCCTGATTCCATGGCGAAGAATCCTGCTAATCCTAAAAGTTGCTATTCAAGCATGCAACAACTGCACTGCAGAGCAATCACAAAAAGGAGTCTGACAATAAATGAAATAAAACGTGTCAAAATGCAAAGTGTTTCAGAAATGAGGAAAAAAATATTGCTAATAGTTTAGCCTTCTGCTAACTGGAGCTAACGGCTCACGGCTGCGACTTCATTTTGACATTTCTTTAGCTAATGTTAGCTGGAGCCTCAAATCACAGAGTGTTCTCAGCCTCACTCCTCACCGCTACGGACCACCTCGCTGGGAGGAGAGCGGGAAGCAGCTCCAGAGACTGACCCTCAGCCAGTGGGTGCAGCAACCAAAATCAGCAAGAGCAAACTCCAGCTCCAGGGAACCCAATCCCTGCTGGATCAGCAAACAGGTTAGACTTGTTGCTGCCACTGGCTACCAGTGCGTTGTGACATCCAGTGCTGAAGGGCATGAGCCACTAAAGCTGCAACTAAAGGTACGTCTCCCAAGCTACAGCCCACTCTCCTCCCGAGAAAGTGAGGTGGAGGGACCATGGGATGGCTAGCTAGCTAATTCTTGTATCATTTATGGTCTAATAAACAGAGAGAGTTTGTGCTACCACACGACATACCATTAAATAAATTAATGTATGAGAAACACTGGGTTACTGTGTGAAGTGTGTGCATATGCCTGTCGTCGTCTGGTGGGAGGGTCTTAGGACAGAGAGGAGAGAGCTGCAGGACAAGGGTGCATTTTCAGATTCTGCCAAAATTTTTTTGTCTTTTCCAGATTCCTGCCTACCCCAGCTCTAAGAACAAGACTAGAGAGTTTGCCCTGTGAGGCTGCACTTAGTCACAGTGGTGCTTTGAACTAAATGCTAACATCAGCATGCTAAGATGCTCACAATGACTCACATGCTGATGTTAGGTATAATGTTCACATTAACCACTTTGATTTAGTGTGTAAGCAAGATAAAATTCGCTTTTTAGCACCACAGTACAGTTGAGTTTCAGAGGAATTTTACATTTACATCATAATAGAAACCACAAATTCTGACCTCATAGTAGCGCTAAAGAAAGACGCTCTCCTGTGCTACCAGTGGACCCCTCTTTCTCTCTTTATTGTACATTACTAGACTGAAATTCTCCTCTTGTCTTATCTTTTATCCAAACATTCCTGCAGGCTGGAGCTCGGCAGACTGTGCGTGAAGCGGTACAGTAACTGACCCCAGGAGACCTTAAACTACCAAATCAGCCTCACAGGAACCTTTGGGTGGGGTTATGGCAGTTTGCATTGGGACGCTCTCACTCTCCGGGCAGATTACCTGCCGCTGATTAAGAGCAGCTGACCAAGCACTGGGGAGCCACTGTAAGCCTTTAACAAGTGCTGTAACTCTGTAACACTGTGTTTAAAGGTGTCCTCACACAAATGACATCATGTGCGTAATGAAGCGACTTCCCACACGCAGACATAAACAACCACTGAAATCAACACCAGTGGGTGCCTATTAGGAATGTAAAACAATGCTAGAATGCTGCAACGAAAATAAACTTTCCATTACAAGGAGACCTGGATCCAGTTTAGGTATTTATGTAGAGGCAAGGAAACGGGTTAAGAGGCTCACTGTATTTTCAGAGGGCGCAAAGACTGTATAAAGGCAATTTCACTTGTCTTTTACCTGTAGCAGGGGTTCTCCACAGCCTCTTTAGGGGAGATGAACATGTAAGGCGAGAGCGGCTTGTCCACAAAAGCCCCAAAGCCCATGCGGAGGTTGCTGGTGGTGCGATTCATAGCGTCTGCCAGGCCTCTGCCCAGTGTTCTCAGGCGGAAGAGGTCATCGTTCATGGAGTAGGAGAGATCCATGAGGTAGTAGAGGTCCACGGGGTAGTCATCTACCTGACGCACTTTTACTGTGAAGCGCTTAGCATCATCTGGGAAGTTAGATAAAGAAATTTTATAAAGCTGAATTCATTAAGATTCAAGATTAAATGTTTTTGGAGGTTCCCAGCAACAGCCGGAAGAAGATCAGAGATGCTATGGAAGCTATGGAACACACTACCTATAGAAATTAGGGAAGCTAGCTCGCTAAATATTTTTTAAAAGAAAGCTAAAAACGTATCTGTTCACTTTAGCCTTTAACTAGCTCTGAGTTTACAGGTCTGAAACTCTTTCTTTTCATGCTTTTACTTTCTATTTACGCTTCACGCTGCTGCAGCTCTATTAAAATCTTACTTGATTTTATGATTTATCATTTTACAACTCTATGATTTTATGAATCAATTCTGTTTTATGTTCATTCTATTTTCATGTCAAACAGTAAGTGTTAATACTACCCTTATTGTAAAGCACTTTGTGCTGCATTTCTTGTATGAAAGGTGCTATATAAATTAAGTTTAATATTATTATTTTTCTCGCATGCCTCCACAGTGAACGACAAATCCAAAAACAACTTGTGCAGTATAGTCCAAGTTTTATTTAACCCACTCTATACTCAGTGCTCCCCAAACAAATGCATTTTTGCCAAGACTTAAGTATTTAAAACTGTATTAAAACTGACACTTTTTCAAAGCCAGACTCTATTGTAAAAAACATGTAATTTTATCTTGCTGAACATGGCCGCTGCTGGTCCACCACTGCCTTGATCAGTTACTGTGTGACTCTGCTGAGGATAAATAAGACTTGGATTAGAATGTGTGAGTTGTGTGAGAGGTTGTAAATGGTTGTTTGATATTGTGTTGCTGTTGTCAAACCTGAAAACCTATGACTTCAAGTCTACAAGATTTTTCTCAGTTTTTGGATTCTTCGTTCAAGTTTTCTTCACAAATTCAACACAACATTGCGTCAGTAATATCCTCCTGTCACCCCAACTTTTGTTTGGTATGCATTTTTAATTTCTCCTAGCTGTTTGGGATCAGTAGGACCTGATAAGTATAAAAACTACTGATAATAAAGTTCCTATATCCTCAAATGTGATGATAATAAAGTCAAAATGTCCTTCAACAGGCTGATGATACATTCCTTAGGTCTTCAAACGAGTACTTTGTAATTCAGAGCGTCTCATTACTGTTGCTTTAATTAGTGAAATCTGTTGTCATATCAAACTACAAATGTTATTTATCATAAATAAACAAGTTTCAATCATCAAATCTGATCAGGTTTTCAGACCTTGTCTGTGTTTGTGTCGGGGTTGGTTGCAGACTGACTTGGCAGAGATGGCTGCCATCTTTTTGCTTTACATGAATTGGTGTATTGTGCTCTTACTGCCACTAGATGGCACAAAAAAGTGTCCAGGAACGAGGACAACAGGTCCAAGTTAAGCAGAATGAAGTAGAAGGTCCAGTAAACTTAAAATGTAATGTCCTTGTATGAAGACATAGGATCTCAGGAGGATATACAAATAGTCATTTGTAGCTCCCCTCTAAATCAAAACACAATCTCTCTACTTCAGTATGTGAGACACTTCATCCCCACCACTGATGTAAGAACCAAAACTCGGACGGTAAACCCTACCTGGCCTGAGAGTGATCTGTAGCCTCTGGGGCTTTATCTGAGTGACGTCTTGCGTGGCTCCCGCTGCCTTGTTGCTGAGGGGCCGGTCCTCGATCACCTGCAGTTTGCTGGTCGGAGACTCCATAGCTGACGGAACACACCCCGCTGCCAAAAGGTTGGTCTTCAGATCACAGCGAGAGGAACTGGCCACCCCCTGGCCAAAGTCCTGACAGAAGAGGCATTTTTTTTTACATTTAAACCTCCTTACAGGTTTCGGAAATACTTTAATGTAATAGAAATGTAATCAAATAGTTGCTTATTTACAGAATTTCCATCTGTAATACAGCTGTGTTGAGACAGAAGGGCATACTGGACTCATTTGAAGGCTGGACTGTAACGGGGAAGTCCAGAAATGGCCCAACGTTATGCTTCTATTAAAAACATCTCCTGGAGTGAAGGAGCACTCCAACATCTCCTCAACAAACTCTGGGTTTAAAAAGGCAAGGTCTGACAGTTCAGTGAGTGCTTACGAACATGAAGACATCTCAGCAATAGTCACAGTGAAGTCATCCTGAGAACATTTTACACTTGAGTGAAAAGTTGAGAACGTTGACTCCCAGTTTTACTGTGTTAAATCATTGCTCTCATTAGGTTGAAGCAGAAAATATGACTACATCCACATGCAGTCACATGAGTTCAGTCACTGTGTCTAAAGTGTTACGAATCATCAAATCAAATCAAATCAATCAGATATTAGACAGGACAGTGGGAACATTTATACTTTGGTTATTTTCCACCAGCTTTATATCATCATAATGTGGGAAGTGTGTGTCAGTGACCTGTGGTTAACTTCCCTCATTCTTACCAGCAGAGAGATGTCCCTGCTCATCTCCCAGCTCAAATTTTCACTGGATCTAGGGCTGTAACACAACAGCTCCTTGGCCCGGGAGCAGAAGTCCTGACGAAATTGCTAAGTTAGTGATTAACTAGCTATGAAGTATTATGTTAAAAGACAGGTGGTTAAGGTTAGGATAAGGGTAATGGGAAGGGTCACATCTCGTTACTTATGCTAATACTAAGTTAGCTGTTAGCTAATGTTGGTTAAGGGTAGGATAAGGGTAATGGGAAGGTCATGTCTTGTTACTTACGCTACTGCTAAGTTAGTAGTTTGCTAATGTTAGCTTAAGTATTACATTAAAGAGAGGTGGTTAAGGTTAGGATAAGGGTGATGGGAAGGGTCACATCTCATTACTTATGCTAATGCTAAGTTAGCATTTAGCTAATGTTGGTTAAGGTTAGGATAAGGGTAATGGGAAGGCTACATCTCGTGACTTATAAATCGAATCATATTGTGAATTATAAACTGGATTATTGCTACATTCGGTCTCATTTATTTACCACAGTGTAGCATTTTAGCAGGGTTCAGATAGACATTGTGTTGGTGGGTTTATCTTGTACTAGTGGTGGGCGTGGCTTGTAGGGCGTGTTGTGTACGCTACAAACGAAATGTGTGAGCAGCTATACATGTCTCGGCTTTGAAGACAATTTTACATAGTGGCCACAAGTGGAATTACAACAGCCAAGTCCGTCACGTGATGCCATAGGGCCCAAAAAGACTTTTCCCACAGACTTACATTCGGAAAGAAACGTCTATAATTCAATGCATACATTTTATTGAGCGTCACAACCCACACAAAATGATTTGTTTCACTATATGGATTTGATATATTTGATGTGGTAACATTTCTAAAGTCTAAAAGAGATGCAAGATTTAATCATTATAGCCCGATTAAAATGAGCTGAACGCTTGGCAGCTGTAAGCCTCTGGTGTGGTTGCTCTATGGACCCCTCAATGCAGAAGAGCCAGGTAATTTCATACCGCGGGAACTAAGCTTTTTTGGCTTCATGTGCCACTAAGCAACTTTCATAGTGATGAACAGGGCCCTACTTCCAATGCTATATCCAGGTGTCTTAATACATCCATGGGCCAATCTCGCATAAAAGTCACTTACCAGCAAGAGTGTTTATTGGTCTGGTGCAGTGCAGTGCATTCTGGTAGTTGTAGGTTTTCTACCTCTTGATCAAAAGCAAACACCACAGCCTTTCTTCTCTGTTTTCTCTGTCCACATAGCACCAATTTCTAAATCATTTCTACTACAACAGACAGTCCAGTTTTATTAAACGACCATCTATCCAGAAGTGAAATTCTTCTTTATCTTTAAAAAGGCATTCATTTTCACAGTTAAAAAAACATCTTCTCAAACAGATTAAGCGACTGATGAGGAGATCTGTACCACCCTGCACCAGTGGCTCATTAACAGAATGAGGTGAAGTGGAAAAGGAACCCACCTCCTGGAAGCACCACGCACAGCTGGGGTGCACAGCCAGACACTGCTTGCATGTACTGGCCCCTCTGGAGGTGCAGACGTTGGAACCTGCAACCAAACGTTAAGTCAGTTTTTCAAAATGTAAGCTAATTATTCAGTGATAATGTTCACCTTGTGTATTTAAAACACACCAATAATAATTACATAGCCTAGGGAACTGGACTTTTGGATGTGGCATCAGTCCATTTTTCAATAAAAACATAAAGTCTAAAGGGAGTAAGTTAAAGATACATGGTTTGTTTTAGGAAAATTAGATAATGAAGCCTGTAGGCTATTTGATAACATTTTGGTCAATCTCAGAAGTTTCAGTTGTTAGGTATATGATTAAAATGATTTTACTTGCACACAACATGTTCCTCATTGTCATAACTTTATAAATTTTTACACAAATGCGGAAAAAACCCTGCCAATTAAAGAAAATACTGACACCTTACAGTGGACATGTTAATAGGACAGGCATATTCCAGCAAGTTGAGAACATCATTTGAGAGTCTTAGTAGAGTTGAAAACTTTGTCTCATGCGTCCTAGCCCTGTAACATATTCTTAGCCACATGCGCAAAAACACGCAAACAACAACAATAAATGAAATCTTACCGCAAACTCCTGTTATTCCCAAAATCACCAAAACGCACATCCATAGTATCCTTTGCGCCGGGAGAGCACCCATCCTGGTGCGGGCTCTCTGAGAGGAGGACGGAGCCTGCTGCCAACAAGCTCAGCTGGAGTAGAAAAGAAGAAGAAAAAAACTTTATTCATCTGCAATGGACACAACTCCAAATAGAGTCAAACGTCTTAACACCACCCTCCACCCCCTCTGCTCCGCATCCACTGCTCTCATTATCATACTATTAAATGCAGTGGGCGGGTACAGTGAGGTGCAGCATCCAAGAGCTGGGCTAGGTTTATTATGGTTGAGGGCAGAGCATCAGACATGGGACTTATTGTACTGACTGGCATCTGTTTTAACTTACTGAATATAGCATAGGATATAGTACCAGTCACATATTATAAAAATATACACGTTTTAATTAAAAGGAAAAAAAAATAGATTCAGAACAAAGTTGAATTTAACAGTAATTTCATAACAAAGTAGAAAAAATGTGGGTTTTATTGGCTGAACCGTTAAATTAAGATGTGTAGGCTTTATTTTGCAATGCAAACAAGCAGTAAGCTCCATATTAAATACGCATTAAATGTAATTGTATACTTGAGGTTTGCATGTGCACACACTGCCCCCTACTGGACATGAGCTGTAAAGACAAGCGTCACTCCTTGGTAACTCAGAAGAAGAAAACCAAACACCGAAGACTAGCTTTTGTTTTACTTTCCTAAATGTATATAGCAAATCATAAATCTATACAAAAAAATTGTTGCCAAGTAAAATAATTCAGAGACTTTGGACCTTCAAACTCATCAAGAACCATTACCTCACTCTGATGACATGTTCAGGGAACATAGGACAGTAACATTTGTTTGTTTTTCAATGGTTAAATCCATTTTATCAGTTCAGTCATTAGTACATTAAGCAAAAAATTGAAAATAGCTACAGAATATGTTTTTATTGTCTATACCTAGGGTACATACCTAGACAGGCAAAAGAGCATTTATGTATGCAGCTCCTTATATGTGTAATCTTCTACAGAAGGACTTAAAGTTGCACTCTTTGGTTCCTCTAACTCAGTGGTTCCCATCTGGTCCAGCCACAGGGTCCAGATTTCTCTTTAGTCAGTGGTTCAAGGTCCACACAGTTTAATACACTGAGTTTGGCCATGTCTTTGAGCTAGTTTGCTATCTCTGTCAAGTACCTGTCCCTTAGGGCTAGGGTTGGTCACTCATTCTACTTTGGGAAACAGCACTTCAAAATAAAAGCTCTGTGTTGGAAATTCTCCGCACTTAATAATAAAATAAAGTTTTTATTTATTTATTCATTTTTACAAACAACACATTTACAAGTCACTTGCGAGAGAGAGCACTAGGGCCTGTCAAAGTAGTGTGCACCAGGGTCCACCGTAACTACCTTGCGCCATTGTATGAGGACATCACGTTTTGGGTTTGCTGCACCATATACGTTATTTTATTGAACTTGGACCTGTCGTTTTCGTTCGTGGATATTTCTTCTTGTGCCATGTACCAGTAGCTAAAGCACAATACACTAATCCATGTAAAAACAAGATGGCAGCTATCTCTGCCAAGTCAGTCTGCAACTCATCCAGACACAAAAGTGGACAAGGGACAAAACCTAATCAGATTTTATGGTTGAAATTTGTTATTTTATGCTTACATTTTTTGATAGTTTGATATTGCAACAAATTTGACCAATTCTAGCATCAGTAACAAGGGAAGACAATGTTAATTAGGAAGTACTCTTTGAGGACATTGGAACTTTATTATCTATTATCACAGCAATTCACAAAGGCCAATTAGGTGCGACAGACTACACACAAAAAAGAACATTCCCAGCTTGAAGTACGAACAAACAAATCATGAGGCGTTTTGATATATTGCCTTATTTGCGATTCTGCTTTTGCACAGCAGTGTTCAGGAGCTGAAATGAACAGTTTTTAACAATTTTAGACTTGAACACTGACCCCTAACCATAAAGTTGCAAAAGACTGAACAAATGTTGCACTGTTTGCAATCTTTTTTTGGCACAACAGGTGTCTTTTTTCCCCCAAAACTACTAACTGTCCAAAAACAGTGCTTAGTTTTTTGTATTTATCAGGTCCTACTGATACCAAATAACTACCAAACAAAAGCTCGGGTCTCAAGTGGTTAAAAAAAAAAACATCCTCCAACCTCACTGCAATGCTTTCCCTGCTCTTCTGCTGCCAGTATTGTCAACAATGGACATGTGTATGTGTGCTTGTGCGTGTATACCATTGATGGCCAATCCTGGACTATTGTGGCTGACATGGACTAACTGCATCATCCTAATATTTTTAAGTGAAAAAAATATTATGTGACAGGATGGAACACAGTAGAAAACTGTCCCATTTTATCTAAATGCATTGAGTACTTACTCAAAACCCTTTCCCATGAAAGAAAAGTGTATTGTGAAATTGTGATTCTAATATCACTCAAACAGTTTAAAAAATGCAACATACAACCAGTTTTGGCGTTATTCCCTTATTGTTGTAGCTGCAGCACTCTTATTAACAAAAAGAGAACATGCCACATAGCTTACACTTAAAGTTCTGGGACCATAGATTTTTTTAAAAAAATTTGCTCTGCCTATCCAAGTTTTTTTTCTCCAAAACAGTCGAAAGGATTATTTCATTTAAAGCACATTTGTAGCAACAATAACTTGTGCAATAACATGTAGTGACTGGCTGTGAACAGGATATTTAAAGAGGCCAAGATGTAAAACCTTATTTTACCTGATGTCCAACATTACCTTACTTCACCCTCCTTTTATGAATGCCACAAATGACCCAATAATGTTTTGGAAAAAAAGAAACATGATCAGTCAAACTTGTTCTCATTAAACATACATCTGGTTGTTGTTTGTGATAAAATGGCTTTTGGAAGCACGAAGAGTCTCTGCTGGCCAAATCCTGACAGAATTTCTCTTAATTTACAGGCTGTAAATTTGCTCTGGAACCACACTGAGTTAAAATACAGATTGTTAATTGGTGAGAATATTGCCTCGAGCCAGTGGAGGCTAATCAAAGTGGTCGGCGCAAATTTTCCTTTTGGCTACCGATGTTTTGCCACTTTTCTACCTTCTTTGTTTTCCTATGTGGGAGAAAGCACATCTGATTCATACACACGTCCATTTTGGTCACATGAACATTTTTTCTTTAACTTTTCTTTAAAATAAATATTAGTCTGAATCACAAATACTTAGACAACATTCATAGGCATTGATTGTATGGGTTTATATGTGATAATGGATAAATAAACAGATATTATCACACTGCCCAACTCGTATCCATGGCTGCAATACCATTTATATCCACCAGATGTCATCTCCCTACTATATGTGTAATTTACAGCCTTGGACGATGTATCTGCATGAGTGTGAATCATACAACCATTAAATTTGACTTATTTAAGGTCGCCCTCCCCTCCCAATTCTTTCAGTCTGCCAGACTTTTGGCCTCAGATGCCCATAGGTTGACTGCTGCTCGAGGCTGCTGCTATACAAATCAAAGATTCTTGTACAACTTTCAGGTTCACTCCCAAATCAAAAACACATATTTTTCCTCTTACCTGTAATGCTATTTATCAGTCTAGATTGTTTGTGTGTGAGTTGCAGAGTGTTGGAGATATCTACATTCCCTCGACGACACATTCTCATCCCAACTTGTCAAATACTGCTGCTTTGTCAGTGGACCTACATGTCAAAACATGATGCGCCAGGTACCCTCCTGTGTCAGTTTTGGACAGTCAGGAATGGCAGGTCGATTTAAAGTTGTTGTCTTTTCACAGTACACACCTGTTTTTATAGGAAATGCAAAGTTTCTGCTCGTTACATGCGTACAGTGTTTTTGAAAATCAACTTACAACATAGGTAAAACACTTCGTTTTTTAGTTTAATTCCTTCGGTTTAGCCAACAATAGCACATGGCAAAAAAAATCTAGTTTGGCTTAAAATAACTACAGTTCTTACTAACGTAATATCACGTCACATAACATATGTCCTTAGAGTAGCATGCTACACATACCTGCACACTACACTGTTATTAAAATAACACTGACTTTTGGTTTCACACAGGAGACAAACAGCGGGCTCCTAGATGAAAGTCCGGTGTTTGTTTGACCCCTTCACCATCCCTGCTGCCCACCCAATGCAACCTTTCTGGCTCTTTATAGCTTACTATGGTAGTTGCCCACCAGGCGGCAGCTGCCCGATGCACATCATCCTGCCACAAAGTTTGCCTCTGTGTGTCGATGTCTGACGATGAGGTTCACTGACAAAGCGGTATTATGTGACGGGTCGTGACTGGATGTCACTCAGTTTGTGGTGCTCAGAGCACCAAAAAGACATTTGGAACACTCAACAGCAATGTCTCTTTCCAGGAATCATGACCAAGTAACTCAAGATAATACAGACCTTGTTGTGAGCAGTTTCATGGAAGAACTATTTTCTTTCTGTCAAATCCACCATCTGTATCCCTGCACAGAAGGAAGCGTGTGCCTACTGCTAGCTCACCTAGCACCACAGAGCTAGCTAACAATACAACTAAGCCAAGAAGGATGAGCCTCTCATCCATGAGTAGATTGCACGCTTCCTTCTGCGCAGTGATTCAGTTGGCGTGTGTGCTTCAGTAGAAAGAAAATAGTTCCTACATGAAACTGCTCACAACAAGGTCTGTGGATTATCTTGAGTAACTATATCATGATTTCCGTAAAGAAACGCTGCTGTTGAGTTTTTCAAACATATTTTTTGGCACTTTGAGCACCACAAGCCGAGTGCTAGCTAGTTCCATTATATTGGAGAGAAGACAGACATCTCTACGGATGATAGTTCCCATCTCCTTCAGCTCCATCATCACTGTCCTTCACCAGGTGTTCTTTGGTAGTTTTGCATTTCTCTGATAACTTGTGCTGTCTTTGATGTTTCAAACATGGTACAAACATTCCATGGTCCAAGACGGATTTTAGTTTGGGGTCTTAGGAGACTCTTCTTCAAGCAACAGAATTCCCAGGGTGGGTTTTGCTCTGCTACCATCATCATACTGCCTGTGGTTTGGCTGGAGCTTCGTTTGGACCCCAGATTCAGTGGTTTGTATCTTGCAGTTTCTGTAACACTTGCTGTTTTCCGAGGTGAGGTTGTTGGCCCCATGCTCAACCCCCAACCTGGAGGACCAGTGCTGCTTTT